ATCACCAGAATTTCTTGTCTCTAATTCTTTATGGCCAGTCGGCCATCTATCTGATTTTCAATATGGCACCACTGGAGGCAGCTGTTGATAAAAGTTTGCAGCAACCTGTTGGAAATACTTCTCGTGAGGTGTTCACCAAGTTTCTGACCCATATAGTGGAAGAACAGACTGACTGAATGACTTCACATTTGTGTTGAATAGAATCCGAATCTTGTTGTTTATGCTGGCTGGCTGAGTGAGTGAAGCAGAAGATCTCCGGACTGATTTCAGGTTGATGAAGGTGTATCTCGCCTTTCCGATTTTCGCTGGCTAGCTGGCTTCGACATAATCATTTGTGCTGTCCGACTGCCTGTGGTTAAAACGATGCTTCCTAGTCAGACAAGTGAAGGGAGTGACCTCTTTCAAATCTCTCCCGTTAGTGATGACTTTTATTGATTGGTTATCTTCATTACCTCCGCCTGCTCTTTTTTCACCTGAGTTCCTATCTTTACTGCACGCCTTCTTCTGCCGGTTGTTTGTTGGTTTTCATATATAAATCCACGAGTTTGTATGACATTAGAAATAAATCGTCCACATGCGAAATCCAGATCTTCTAAAGTCCTCTTGTTGGTCAGTGCAGCATATTCCTGTCTTCTCACTCCCAGCTCACAGTTTGGAGCATAATCCAATCCACCGCAACTAGGAATATCGTCATGGAGGATAGTAGTCAGCCAGCCTTGTTTTACTCTTGTATTCACTTCAATGGTAGGCTTCACTGAGTTTCCTCATGGGGATCAGCTGACACGTGACATTGTTTTATAGCCAACTGCATTCCATGGTGTTGAATTATTTTCCAAATTACTTCTCGGTCAACACTGTTGAAGACATCTTCAAAGACGATGAAGTTGAGTTAGGGGTTTCACTGCTATTCTGTGCTTTGTTATGTTATGATGATGCGTAGACACATGCACATTTTACTTAACATCACTGAAATTAATTCCATTCCATTTTATCTGTGTTACCTTCGATTTTGTCTGCTATTCCAAGACCTATGCCCGGACACTATAATACTTACCCTGGTTACTTATCCAGTCACTTAGTTTTGACATAAGCACCAATGTATTGTGAATAAATATAGCTACATAATTACTACATATACACAGATATCTGTTAAGTACAGGGAGTGAAGACTATATATGCATGAAGGCACCTAGCAGTAGTTTATCTTTTCATGCATCAATGTTTCTCATCCCAAATAGTTAACCGTATTACACTAATACCATTTAATGCCCAAAATTCTCTTTCATCCCACGTAAACTCTAAGTCAGTAAACTGGAAACTGAAATCCTGTCCTGATTCTTATTTCCACTCTAGTTGTATTTATCATTTCGAGCGAAGATTATCACAAATACCTTAGCTAAAGATGAGTTTTGTGTAGACTAACTGATTTCCAGTGGGGGGGGGAAAGATGGTGCAACAGAATCCCTAGACTTCAGCTGACTTAAATTCCATTATGGATAAAATTTATTTTGATAATGTCTCACAGAGTGTTACACTGATGACCACGTTTCCAGCACAATTTATTACTGCAGCTCATAATCTTATCAAGTTACTCACACAACTTCCTAGCTTCGTTTATTTAATTTCATTATTTCTCATATCTTGATTTGATTGACAGTGGTATTTTCCATATTTCGGGTATGAGTGATAAGTCATTTGTATTCGACGTGTTGGGGGTAGATTTATCGATGAACCAGGCAGGATTCAGTAATCAACCTCTCTCGCCCTTCACCTATACATATTACTTTTTAGAATTTTAACTCGCTTCAACTCTATTGTATGGTTATGTATTAATGAATACAGTGCAACTGCTGAGTTTTTTTCTAAATTACTCACCTGTTTTGGTGAGGTCAATCATCCTAACCTTAGCTAAATCCCCGTGTTCTGACCACCTGAAAACCTACGACCTACTAGTTTGACCTATGTAGTTGACTTAACTCAGAGTCATTGCAAGGTATTGTGTAAATTACATTATTTTTTATAATAAAGTTTTTTTTGTATTTCCCAATGAATGAAAAACAAAACGATATTGTTGTTGTGTTTTACTGACGTTTCTCTATTTAGTGCTGCTGCTAATAGATTTATCAAAGTAGTATTATTAAACCAGAATTTACAAAAATCCACCCAACTTATATATACCAACGTAATCATCGTTCCTCAGTGTGGGATCATTTTGCCGTTGTTAAATTGGCCAGTTGATAAAGATAACAAAACCATGTGTAGATTGTTCGATATGATAAAACAGCATGTCTCTACAGAGTTAAATTGCTCATCTCATTCGTGTTGATTTTGTCACATCATGGGGGAGGGAGGTGTTGTAACTAGGTTAAATTCTGTTTTAGCCCATCATTCCTATTCATTTCAGACAATTTAGATTCCATTTGATGATATGAAGTGCTTGTGATATTAGACGTTCTTTGTGATTTCTGAAGTTTTTCGGGATTATTTCATTATTGTCAACATCAATTTTGTGGCCTGATTCTATAGCGTATAGACCTATGACTTTTCTAGTTCAACTGGATTTCTCAGTGGTCGAACAGATGCTCTATGGTGTTCATTTATTCTGATTCTGATTTCTCGAGATGTTTGTCCAATGTATATCGCATCACATTCCAAGCATTTTATTTTATAGACACAATTAGATAGAGAATCTTTAGGGATTTGGTCTTTTATAATGGGTAAATTTTGTTTTGATAAAGTCTCACAGTGTTATACATATCAATCTTGATATGATTATGAGCAATAAATTGTGCTCGAAACGTCATCAGCAAACATTACTGTATAACACTATGAGACTTTATCAAAACAAAATTTACCCATAATGGAATTACACTCTACCACAATGCACAAGTTTTATTCTTATATCAATTTGGTCTTTTATATGGACAAGGCAAAAACAATATCGTTTTGTTTTTCATCCATTGGGAAATACAAAAAACATTTCTTATAATGAATACCATATACCTAACTTGGTTTGGACATATACGAATTATATTATTTTGTCTAACTGGGTCAACCTACAGGCTCCTTTAACCTACCTACAGAGCTTGTCCTGCCTAAGTGAGTTTGTAGGTTTGAATGCCATCCTAATTCCTGCTTTATTAGGAATTCTACGTAGGGAGGGTCTCAAATATCTTCCCTCCTTATACGGTAAAACTGTAGATGACTTATATTCTCTCTTATTTATGTTATCATTTACTATTTTGATAAATCACACAGTGTTACACAGTAATATTAACTGATGACGTCCACGTTTCGAGCACAAATAATTGCTCATAATCATATCAAGTTACACAACTTTTTCCTTCATTTATATATATGTATGTAACCGAGCAGTAGCTCTAAGTAGCACAAGAAAAGACCTAAATGATGAAATAAAACAGATAGAAGAGGCGTTGGTGTTGAATAGCTATCCCATAAAATTCATTAGGAAGATCAGTAAAGGCCAAAAGCAAAATAAAAATAATTATGAAACTAATAAGGATGACACAAATAAGAGAGAATATAAGGCATCTACAGTTATACCATACAAGGAGGGGACATCTAAGACACCGTCTACGTAGGATTCTTAATAAAGCAGGAATTAGGGTGGCATTCAGTCCTACAAACTCACTCAGACAGAACAAGCTCTGCAGGCTAAAAGACCCGGTGGACCCAATTAAACAAAATAATATAATTTACAAAATACCTTGCAATGACTGTGAGGTCAAACTAGTAGATCGGGGGTAATCAGATTGTCGGAACATAAGAATTTAGCTAAGGTAAGAATGGTTGACCCCGAGAAGATAAGTAATTTAGAAAAAAGCTCAGCAATTGCACTACATGCAATAACACACAACCACACAATAGGGTGGGAGACGGTTAAGATTCTAAGAAGTAATCTATGTAGGTGGAGAGAGAGATTGTTTACTGAGTCTACACCCAACACATGCAACAGAAATGACTTAATGCAAATACCAGAAATATGGAAGATACTATTACCACCAGTCAAATCAGAAGAGGATAATAAATAATCTCAAAATTCTATTTCAATTCAAGCAAATCACAGCATTCTAACAAATTACTTATTATAACTATAAGAACATTCGTCTGATTTCCCATCTAATTGTATTTGATCAATAACACTCATATTATTATCTCTGAATGTACATTATCTCATATTGATTTTTATTCAAATATCTAGTCAATTCCATACATATATATAAATGAAGGAAAAAAATCTGTGAGTAACTTGATGTGATTATGAGCAGCAATAATTTGTGCTCGAAACGTGGTCATCAGTAAATATTACTGTGTAACACTACACTGTGTGACACTTTATCAAAATGAAATCTTATCCATAATGGAGTTACGCTCTACCATAGTGCCCAAGGTTTATACTTATGTCAGTTATCATTACTAGTTTCACAATTATTTTTATTTTGCTTTTGACCTTTTCTGATCGTCCTAATGAATTTCATAAGATAGTTATTTGATACGAGCGCTTCTTCTGTCTGTTTTATTTCGTCATTTAGGTTTTTTTGTACTACTTACTGCTACTGCTCAGTTTGTTAGACATTTAACTAAACCTGCCCCTACAGACAACAAATGAGATGACCTAAATTCTAAATATCTATTAGAATGTGTTGGTTTTTTATAAATGCTAGTGTGCAGTTTACCTTCTTCCCTTCCTTTTATTTTACAATCTAACATAGATAGCTGATTCTCCTTGTTCATTTACCGATTCAAGTGTGAATTTTATTCCCTTTACTAATGACTTCATATGTGTGAAGAAGTTAGAGATATGACTCATCGACAGTACAAACCGAAGAGTAGCAAACTAGGACGAAACAGCTGTCCAATACTCTCCCTTGTTTTCAATGGTAATATGTAAATTTAGAATTTCTTCTTTTTTCTTTTATTTCTTTAATTTCATCTCTTATTTTTTTCTGTCTTTCTTTCTTTCTTCTACTTGTTTCAAGGAGAAATGTTTCACCTATTGGCCAGAGGATAAATTAGCCCGTTATCAATTCTTTGTAGTGGACTTGACAGCTCAGTATACAATGTCTAGTCATATATTAAGAGAATTTAAAGTAACCGATGCACGGGATGGAGAATCACGTATCATTAGACAACTGCAATATATTCAATGGAATGAACAAGGCTTACCACAGACAAGTGAAAGTATAATTGATTTGATTGGACATATGCATAAAATTAAAGAGCAACAGAATTATGATGGACCGATCACTGTTCATTGCAGGTAATAAGTTAAAAATTTTAGAAATGTTTTGATGTTATACATTTAATCAATGGATTTATATTTATAAAGCAAAAAGTAATTGAGCAGAGAATGTCCTTTTCGATAAATTCCTCTTCTGGCTCTACAATCACATATATATATGCATGTTTATATACATAGAATATTCTAGATTAGTAGTCAATAACACTATTAGTGTTTGTTAAATAATATCGATTTGTTAAGTAAGATCACAATGGAATTACAGTTCACTAAAGATGCTTAAACTATAATAATAATAATAAAGATAAAATAGCAAATAGAATATCAACTTAAATTGGGAAAATTCCACAAAAATTCAGGATCATTCAAACCTGGATGGCCAAGGTAAGGAAAATGTCTGAACTAGCTTCTTTTGGATGCACAAATTAGGCTTCTTAATTAAGGTGGATCCCAACAGCCAGCCTCAGCAATATTTAGTAGTCAAACTCTTAAGGCGAAGTTGAGATTCGTAGGTATGCGGTAAATAACTCTAAAAGCATGGTTAACGTCAATCTTGTGTTCTGTATCCACAAGATGAGACAGAATAGCGCTGCAAATAGATTTTGTTTGTCCTTTGCTTAACCAGGCAGGGTGATGTTCGGAAATTCGACGAGAAACACGCCTAATTGTACACCCTACGTAACTGACTCCACAAGAGCAGTTAAATTGGTAGATACACATGGAAGAGGCGAAATTAGGCAGTTTATCCTTTACTCCAGAAAGCAAAACAGTTGGGGGTGGTTTTGAGGGCACAGCGTAATTCAGCATCAGGAAGTCCTCTTTTTACAGCATTTCTAAGGCGCTGTGTTAGTATCTCGCTGATGTTGTTCCCGAGGAACTGCATTTGTAAGAATAAGGCCTTTTTAGGAACTGTTGGTACCTTGGGCTGCCTTGATTTTAGATTCATATTCTTATCAATAAACTTTTCTGGATAACCATTTTCACTGAGCAACCGTTTAATATTATTAAGTTCCTCATCGAGACATTCATCCGAGCAGATCGCTCTTGCTCTGTTGCGGACTAAGCACTTTATCAGACTTATTTTATATTTTAAGGGCACAAAGCTGAAAAAATGAGTATACTGACCCGTTGATGTAGGTTTTTCTATAAACACTTCTTCTTACTGTGCGATCCTCTTTTCTGGTCATAAGGACCTCGAGAAATGAAATACCAGAGTCTTTTTCCTTCTCAATAGCAAAATTTACCGCAATATGAACCTCGTTAAATTTATTCAGGATGTTGTTTGCTTCCTCCTCATTTTTCATAATCAAAAATGTATCAGCCATGCACCAACAACAGAATTCAAGTTCATCAATAACATTTTTCAGAGGCCCATTTTCTAAATTCCCAGGGAAAATGTCAGCTAGAATGGGTCCTAGCGGTGACCCCATTGCCATACTATTGATTTGTCTATATCATAACATCACTTAAGGAAATAGTGTAAGATACACACAAAGAGAAGAACCAGCAACGACAGGAATTCAGGTGAACATAGAGAATACAGAATTGATGGAGATAACCAACCAACCAATAGCAGCCACAACCAGTACCAATCACTACTAACGGAAGAAACTTGAAAGAGGTTACTTCATCCACTTATCTGGCTAGGAAGGATTGTTTCAACCAAAGGTAACAGCACGGATGAAGATATCAAAGCCAGACAGCCAGAATCGGAAAGGCAAGATACATCTTCGTCGACCTGAAACCAGTTTGCAAATCTTCTGCTTCACTCAGCCAGCCGGCCAGCATAATCGACAAGATTCGGATTCTTGTCAACACAAATGTTAAGTCAGTCAGGCAGTCTGTTCTTTCACTATATGGGTGAGAAACTTGGTGAACGTATCACGGAAAGTATTTCCAAATGGCAAGTGCAAACTTTTATCAGCAAATGCCCTCTTCGCTGGCTCCACACTGAAGATCAGATGGATGGATGGCTGCCCAAAAAGAATTACCGACAAGAAACTTTGACAGTGAATGGACCAGTGAAGAGCCGATTGCTAAATCAATATACCAAATTGATTAAAGATGCCCATTCGAAATTCCAAAAGATTGGTTATTAAACAAAGAATAATCTTTTCGATCAGCCCTCTCTTCATCAGGTTCTAGAGTTATATATCCATTATATTATGACACAATGATTGTTAGTGACAACTTTAGTGGCTTTTAAAAAGAATAACATTGAATCGTTTAGATCAGACTGGTGAGTGCCAGCCGACTAGCACGAAACCTAAGTGGTGTCCAGGACTTCCTGTGCCCGATTGCCTTCAACCATCTACCTCGTCAAACTGCCAAAGAAGGGTAACTTGGACCTGTGAAGGAACTGACTGGCATGGAATAATGCTATTGTCCACGCCGAGTGAAATACTAAGTCGCATCATCCTCGAGAGAATAAAGGATGCACTAGAGACATAACTCCGTCAGCTAGCTCGAACAAGCTCGATTCAGGAAAGGCAAATCATGTGTTGATCAAATTGCAACTATACGTGTTGTCATCGAACACAGCATAGAATGGCAGTCAAACCCCTATCTCAACTTCATCGACTTCGAGAAGGCATTTGACAGCGTCAACCGAGAAGTAATTTGGAAACTACTTCAACACTGTGGCATACCTCAAGTCTTTGTAAACCTCATTCAACAGCTATATGACAATGCCGTGTGTCAAGTGATCCACAAAGGAAACCTCAGCGACGCGTTCGAAGTACATACAGGAGTAAGACAAAGCTGGCTGCCTATTACCACCGATGATATTCTTAATTATGGTGGACTGGATTATACATCAGACTGTTGGGGGCGAGGTGTTATGAATATGCTGGACGACCGATAAGAAGACTCTAGAAGATCTGGATTTCGCAGACGATATATGTCTAATATCACACAAACTCGAAGACTTGCAAGCGAAAACCAAAAATCTGGCTGAAGAGGTAGCGAAATCAAGACTGCAGGTGAACACAGAGGAGACGGAGGTGATGAAGATAACCAATCAACGGCAACAACAACCAGCACCGATCACCATCAACGGGAGATATATAAGAGAGGTTGCCTCCTTCACTTATCTAGGCAGCCAGCATCTTTTCAACCACAGAAGGAACGGATGAAGATGTCAAGGCCAGCCAGAATCAGAAAGGCAAGATACGCCTTCATCAACCTGAAACCAGTTTAGAAATCTTCCGCACTCAGTAGCATAAGGAACAAGATTCGGATACACTATCCAACGCAAATGTCAAGTCGGTTCCTCTGTACGGGTCAGAAACTTGCACTGCGTGTGAGTCACGAAAAGGATTTTCAACAGGCCAGTGCAGATTTTCATCAACAGCTTCCACCTTCGCTGGCTCCATGCTGAAGATCAGATGGTCAGAAAGAATAAGCAACAAAAAACTATAGGAACAAGGCCAACCACGAGCCTATTGCTCAACAAATATGTAGGAGAAAGAGGAGAAGGATCGAGCATGCATCGAGGAGGCCACCGAACGACATCACACGCCAGGCCCTCGAGTGGAATCCCAAAGAGAAGCGACGAGTGGGTCGTCATTGTGAGGGTAACATGGAGGAGATCATATGGGGAAGAGATGAGAGAGTTCAGTCAACCAGGGACCCAACTGAAGAGGACGATGGAAAACAGGGCTAAGTGGAGATGTGTTGTTGAAGCCCTATGTTCCACTCGGAACGCAAGGGAACAATAATAATATCCATATAACTTTTACTGACCGTCTCATGCATTCATCCTTCTCTTTTGTTTTTTTTTACTTTGTTTTAAAGCTCTGGTGCTGGTCGAACAGGATTATTTATAACAATGTGCAATGTGTTGGAAAGGCTACGTCAAGAATCAGTTATCGATATGTATCAAACAGTGAAATTACTTCGACAACAACGTGTCTGGATGGTACAAACAGAAGAACAATATCGTTTCTGTTATACAGCTACACTGGACTACTTGAATTCATTTGATCTGTGCACTCAACCACAATTACAAGCACCAATACCAATAATACCAACGCCACTACCCATGCAAATGCATAATTTACACAGAAATTCACCAAATTTAAAAACAAAATTAAAATCTACGCAATTATCTGATAAAAGCGTTCTATTTGAATTTGATAAAAATTATGAAATAGGCAATAATCATAATCATAATAATTTAATAATTCAATAGGAGAATTAAAACAATGACAATTGATCATTGAACACATGTCATGAAAGCCAGTGAATATAGGTATATCTATATACTACTCATTATGTTTGAGTAGTACTAAAGTTATTTTATTTTCATGTTACCAATTGCTGTTCATTTTTTTCTCCCCCTTTCTACTTTCTTGTGAATAAAATCTAATATTTAATTGTAAAACTCATGTTTTTTTCTGAGACATAGGTATTCAGACTTGAAGCCTTGAAGATTCAGTGGTCGTGAAGTTGTTTTTTACTGTTTTACTAGGTGGTGGGTCTATATGTTTTCTACATAGAACTTTGCACCGATGTGCTGCAGTTCAAATCGTCACACTCCCTCCATGTAGCACACAAAGCAAGAGAAGAAAGTAGAAGAAATGCATAATAGAGACAGTAGACAGGGATATGAGACAAAAGGAATAGTAATAACGAAGAACAATGTAGTTTCATTGGAAATTATAAGTCGCAAGGAGTGGATGCATCTGCGCCATTGAAAACGAAGATTTTGAATCATATCAACAGTTGTCTGCAGCCATTGGATTTTACTGTCCCGAGGACCCCAACCAGTCAAGAAGTCTACACCTTCCTACGTGGCTGGCTTAGACTAACTGTTATGGATTTCATTGACTGGTGCCATGTTTTGGTTTGACTGCCGCTAGCTCTTTTCCAACCTGATCCTATGTCAGCTAACATTGCCCGTCAAGGAAGGCAATGACTAGGCATACGTAACACATGTCCTAACCATCTCAGTCTATGTAACTTCACAGCCTCGTCGGTTGATTTCCCCTCCAACTTATCTAGCACTCAACCGGAGCCTAACCTGAATATTGCTCACCTTATTATACCACTTCACACGGGAGATAGAACACAGACACCTATGATCGAAGACAGCTAGCTAGTCTTTTCATATCTTCCACTCTCAATGACCAGGTCTCAGAGCCAGAAAGGAGGATGGAGCGGACTGATGAGCAGTACACCCACCCTTTGGTCGATAGCTGGATATCACGTATAAGCCAGAGACGGTGTAAACTGGCATATGCGAAACCAACCCCCCTGTTGGTTGATACTGCTGAGCAGTATCCTTTCTGAGATTTCGTCACAGATCACCCCGTTGGGGGTTGATGGTAATTCCCAAATAAGTGAAGCGGTCAATGTGCTCTACCACTTCACTCGCTATTTATAAACTAGGAGTCAGTGTAGTCCAGTCCTGTAACATCATCTTACATTTGACGGGAGCAAATCGCATGCCGAACACTCGTAGATTGCAGCTCAAGATGTTCAGAAGACTACGCATTTTGTCAGCGTCTTCACCCAGGATGGAGGACTATATCATCTGCATATTCTAAGTCAACGAGATTATTATTATTATCCCTGAGTCTCTGAAGTGAGTCAGGGTTAAATCCATTAGTACATCTATGATGAAATTGAATGAATGAACAGGTGGTGGATAGGGGTTGCTAGCCTCATAACCAACCGTTCACCTTTTCTAGGCAAGATTTAACAGGTGGTCTGACAGAAATCGAACCCCTGACCAGGTACCTGACTGGTGGTCATTCTAGCACTGAGCCACTAGTGCACACTCGTTAGTAATAGTTATCCTGTTCACGGAAAAGTTCGCAAATTAAAAAAATTTTTTTGTTGAATCAAGCAATTCAAATGATAATTTAGTTTCTATGTATATTTCGAGATTGATGATAACGTAACCAACCTACAAAGATTCACAGTAATACTGACAGTAACTGATTGTCCCATTAATCTAACAATTTCATATGGTGGTAATTATTGTTCCCTCAGGCATACGATTTTCCATAATGTCTCATCTCCTCATCCTCCCCAACACACGATCTCCTCCATGTCACTCTTGCACTGACGACCCACTCGTTGGTCGTTTCCCATTCACCTTCCACTTCAGCGATGGCCTGACCAAAACGCGGTGTCAGTCAACTGCGTCTTCAGTGGTGTATTCCCAATCCATCTCCATTTTCTCCCACATATTTGTTGTGCAATCAACTCTTGGTTGGTTGGTTAGTTCATTGCCATAGTTACTTGTTGGTAATTTGTTCTAGCCATCTCACCGGCCATCCATCTAAATCTTCAGTATGGAGCCAACGAAAGTGGCAGTTGTTCTTAAAAGTGTGCACTGGTCTGCTGGAAATGCTTCTCGCGACTTACGCTCAGTGCAAGTTACTGACCCACATAGAAGAAGTGACTGACTGACTGACTGGCTTGACATTGGTCTTGAAAATCCTAATCTATCTTGTTGTTTATGCTGGCTGGCTGGGTGAGTGGAGCAGAAGATTTCTAAACTGATTTCAGGTTGATGGAGGTGTATCTCGCCTTTCCCTTTCTGCTCTGTCTCGACATCTTCATCCGTGCCGCCGCCTGTAATTAAGACGATGGTGCTTGGCTAGATAAGTGGATGAAGCGACCTCTTTCAAATTTCTCCCGTTGACTGATCATAAAAGATTATTATACTTACTGTCGACTTCAGAGAACCAACGGTAGAACGTCCACAAGCCAAGCGGGAGATACGTGTTCGACTCTCGGTCGAGGAACTCTGTAGTCATGCAGTTTGCTGGTAGACATATTAGGCCTTGAAAACCCCAACAATACCATCACTATTGCAACTTCAAATCGCCGTAATCCGTAATAAGACTCAATAGAAGATATTCACATGGTGGTTTGCAGGGATTTTATTGGTTACAGGATTTCATCATGAACTGATATTGGTTAGAAAACTATTGAAAAACCGCCACTGGAGTACTGAAAAGCCAACTGTGTCATCAGCCTAGTTTTAGACTCTTCAGTACTCTGAGGCTTTCCATTGGTTCATGATGAAATCCTGTAACTAATCAAATAAAATCCTCGCAAATCAATACTTGAATATCAAGCCGATGCTCATTACAGACTGGCCCGATTCAGGTAGGTAGTTACTGGCGTGGGATCCAGTGGGAAGTCGTGACCAGTGGGGTGCAGAGGGTCGAGTGTGAGGATAAATTCTCGCCATCGATGACATTCGCTATTGCTAGTCACGCAATATCATGAATTGTTAGAAGTTGGAATTCATGGACTGACTGGCCATTGGGTTGGTGGGTCCCAGTTGGCTTAATGGTCTGCGAGCTAACTTGCCTTGTAACTCGAAGGTCCTGGGTTCGTATCTCAGTAGGGTGGGTGCGTAATGTCGATGATTCCCAAACTAGGATGAAGCAGCTGTTCAGTACTGGTGTGGTGATTCTCTAACCGATGTCAGGTCATGATGAAATCCTGTAACCAATCAACTAAATCCCTACAAGCCAATACCTGAACACCTGTGGAGTGGTTGGCAAGCATTCTATTATGCTCAGGCTAAAATCGATGAAGAACAATTCTTAGAAGAATACTATTCAAAGAACACAGTAATCATAAGAAAAGGCACAAACAGCGAAGAAACTTTTCTTTTCGACGATTCATTTTTAGGAGCCGCACAATCGTAATTATATTAAACAAAGAAATCTTTAGACCAACCAGATACTGGTAAACTTTATCTTCAAAAATGTATTACATAATGTAAAGCGTAAGAAGGGATGACTAATTGTAAGTTAGAGAAGAGGCAGAAGTTGGCATGACGTAATGAGTGTGAGAAAATGATTAATCAATAAGCTTGTGTAGAATGGACAGGAACTAGTGGAAAGGCGATAGAGTGTTTTTATATAAAATCTGTATGAAGAAGCAATGTTATTAATAAACAATAATAGAGTAGTAATAAACTGTGGATGATGGAAATAATAACGATATTAAAATAATAGTAGTAATAACAATAATAATAATAGTGAACTTACATAATAAAAAAGAAAGAAGCAAAATTATAGTGATAACTTTACTCTGGCCACGGTAGGGCGAAAGAATGTGTGTATCGCTTTTGAATGCAGAGGTCCGGTTTCAGATCTCGAATAGCTAACGCTTCAGCTATGGACAGATGGCGTATGCGAAGTCCCTTTGTACGATATCGAAGGACTCTGTGTAGCACTGTAAAACATTCATTTGGGGGTGCTTTATGTCCGGAGACGATAAGGTGTTCGAGGATAGAGCTGCTGCTATTCTTCTTTTCTCCTCTGGCTGTCTAGCCAAGCTGGACAGTGTTCCAGAATAACTCCGTAGACATGACGTTGCGTACGGCCGATATAGTTTTCTCTACACCAGCAAGTAAATTGATAAATACACATTGAAGTGGCCAAAAGCAGTATCTTATCCTTAACGTTAGACTGGATTAACTGTCTGCTGGAGAATGTGATACGTAAGGTGGCTGTTGGAAATGTCTTCTTCAGACATTTAGAAAGGCGGTTTCTGAGAATTTCCGCAGCGATGTCACCTTTGAATTTCAGGTTCATGAAGAGAGTTTTCTTAGGAACAGTTGCGATGTTTGGCGACGGAGGCTTCTCTTTCATGTCTTCTTCTGTCGATGAATCTTGGTGGATACTCGTTCTCCCCCAGTAGGGTTTCACGTGTAATGAATTTAATTCTCTCTCTCTATCATGTCTTCTAAGCAGATTTTTCGAATCCTTCAACTTAATGTACGTACCAGATTTCGCTTTTGAATCAGTGGGACGAAGCTCTGGAAGTTGATAAACTGTCCCGTCCATGTTGGCTTGTGATATATTGATCTTTGGATCGTCCCGTCGTGTCTTCTGGTAAGTAGTACATCGAGGAATGGAAACGCGTTATTCGATACACGTTCTAAGGGTGTGCTAGTAATCGCCAGCTTAGAACTAGAAGAAGGAAGGAAGCATTCAGAAAAAATCAATAACAAAGGTCCATTTTTTTTCACACTATATACTGAGGCTCAACCAGGTATAGTCACAAGTGTATAACACTCCAGGGGCCATAAACAATCTACGAAAAAAAGAAGATCATTACGTAACTAACTGAAAATGATCAACTTCTTTGTGAAATAAGTGTGTTGATGATGTTGTATTGTCCCTCCCAGAAAAAAATGGAATGCATTTGACGAACGAATGAATGAAT